ATACACATTTACCTGACCATCGAGCTACCTGTCCGTCTGTCCGTCCGTCCGTCCGTCCTGTCCGTCGGTCGATCGGTCTGTCTGTCTATCCGTCTGTCTGTCGATCAATCGACCTATCTGTCTGAAAACCCTTGTTTCTCGAATCATGGCTGTACATGTATCCAGTTCGATATATGTATTATGTGTGTATATATATGTATATATATATATATATGTACATATGCTTGCGTGTATGTGTATATATAAACACACTTTTCTAATACAGGTAGACAGAAAGAAGTCTATAAATCTAGACCTTACAAAACCGAGCTCCCGGCTGGAACGTGTCAGAGCTGGACTTGGCAGAGCGCGGAGCCGGGAAAGCGGCGCGGCGAAGCGAATCTTTGTTGGGTTTGGGGCTTAAATATTTCATACCCGAAACATTACGACATCTCCAGGATATTTTGGGAAATGACTTGCAGGGTTTAGGGCGTTTCGGTTTAGGACCTGTAGGCTTTAAGGAGTTACTTAGAGGGTTGGTAGACTCTAGGGCGCCAACAGGGGGTTCTGACAATAAGGATTCTAGTGTTTAGGAGCTATCTTGGGGCCCAGTAACCCTAAACACGAAACCCTAAACCCTAAACCCCTAAACCGTAAGAGCTTGGGGCCAAGTTCCTTTCGGAAGCTCCTACCTTAGTTTTTAAATTCCGAGAGGACTGGGGTTTAGGGTTTAGGGTTTAGGGTTTAGGGTTTAGGGTTTAGGGTTTAGGGTTTAGGGTTTAGGGTTCAGAATTTATGAACTAGGAATGTATGCGGCTCATGGGTGGTGTAGAGTATTTACCCAGACCACTGGGAGGGGCCCTTACTACTAAAAGCTGAAGGGATCTACTTTTTGGATCCTACCGGGGGTCTGGGTAGGGATGGGGAGGACAGGGTAAATTAAAGTAGAATCCAGAAAGCTCCCCATGCCCTGAAGGTAGAACGCTTTAGGGTTTAGGGGTTAGGGTTTAGGGCCTAAACCGATACTTTTGAGGATCTAGACAATTTGGGGTGGGGGGTTGCGGCTTCAAGGTTTAGGGCTGAGGGGTGTAGGGTTTAGGGTTGTGTGTTTGGGGCTGCGGTGTCTGGGGTTAAGGGTTACGGCATGGGATTTACGACTTGAGGCTAATATTGCGAAAGGCTTACTGAAAGGCTCATGGGACTTAGTAAGAAAGGCTATAAGTAAGGTTGTAATTAGGAAAACCCTAAAGCCTGAACCATTGGGGGACTTGGCACCTGAATTGTAACCGTACTTACTAAGTCCCCTGAGCCCTTAAGTAGAAGAGTCATTTAGGCTCCAAAGCATGACAGTTTCAATGCAGGCAGGAACATTTGGACAGATCAGGGCCTCCCGAATCTAGAACAGGGATATGCTTACAACTTGCTACGGTTCAGGGTTTAGGGTGCAGGGTGTTGGGCTATACTGCACTACAGCAATATACTATACTATACTATACTATACTATACTATACTATACTATAGAATAAAATGGTTTAAAGCATAGGGTACTAGTTCTGATGCGTGTTTTGGAGCTCATGGTCTGAGGTTTCGAGAAGTACGCGGGTGCTGAGCTTTAACTACCCTGCCCAACTCTAGGGTTTAGGGTTTAGGGTTTAGGGTTTAGGGTTTAGGGTTTAGGGTTTAGGGTTTAGGGTACTGTAGGATTGAAAGAAGCAGCCATCCTGACAACCTGTATTGCAAGCAATGTTACTGCGGCATATGAAACTTGTTTCAGAGTCAGAACTATCTTGAAAGAGAAACCAGAAAATCCTAGACACTAAACGCTGAAGTGCTTTGCGATTTCGTTGAAGTATCCGGAATGCCGCAAGGGCGGAGGTATCGCACCGAGATGACCAGCCACAAGCTCAGGTAGCAGAAGTTGAAGATCCTCATGGTGCCACATGCATAGGCACCTGCGCCGACGGCAGCTTTAGAGCTCTGGCTTCGGGTGGGCTCATGACAGTAGGAGCTTTAAAATACCGGAAAAGGCAATGGGATCTTCTGCTCTCAACCCTAAGACCTAAAAATTTCATACAGCAAAAGTCTGCAGAGTGGGCCAAGTACCTGCCGAGGCATGGAAACACATTGCCGGTCTCCATTCTGACAAACAGCCAAAAGGTGGTAGGGCCAGCATAAACCCAAAACCCCAAACTCATGGTGCCGTTGAGAAGATAGGAGACAAGGCCGTCTCTGCCTTAAAAACTAGACCCATTTCACGAGACACCCCGGCGCGGCGACACACAGATTCATAATATAGGGGCCTTAACAATTAGAATAGGGTTTCGGGGTTCCTTGCGAGTGGCCCTTAAAGGGTTCTTTCAGGGCTACTGTAAGGGTTCAGGGTTTAAGGGCCTCAATAATTAGAATAGGGTTTTGGGGCGTACACCATACTATGACTATAATAAGGAAGCCCCAAAATAATGTAGGTAATTGTCAAGGCCCCTATAGTACGCAGCTGGCTCTGCATCGAGAAGCTTTTACGTCCTGCATGACGGTCAGCGCTGACCTTCGGACTGACAATTTCACACGCACTTCTTAAGTTTATCTTCCTTGCCAGAACAAGCCTGCGGCCAGCTGCATTTTTCGCTTCTCTTTTATGATTCTGCCGGCACGCAACCTCTAACGCGCCAGCCACCAACACAACTCACCAACAGCTGGAAAAAGATTGCGCGAGCTCCCACACAACCGAGCACAGGGAGCCTTACTACCGGTGTGACACTCCATGCAGACACCGGGTTCCGATCAAGGTCATTAAGGCGAGCTCTGCATCGAGAAGCTTGTCCGTCCATCATACCGGTCTGCGAAGACCTTTCGGACAAAGATATCATACACGCACTTCCGACGTTTATCATCCTGGCCCACACAAACAGGCACGACAACGAAGCCAAGCGACACAACGCGGTCCAGCAAGCACAGACAGACCTGGAACGACGAGAAGGCTCTGCATCGAGAAGTTTCAGACTCCGCCACAGTGACTCGGGCATCAATCTCTTCACACGCACTTCCGAGCTGTCTTCCTTGCCTTCTCTGGGGATCTCAGAATCAGCACGCGGGAGCGTGGAAGAACATGCCGCAACAACCAAGCAGAAAAACACATGCACGCATACACGCCCGAAGAGGTTTGTGGAGCTTCTCGACGGTCCCCTACTATGCTTAGAACCCTACTGCCGTAGGGATTCTGCAGCCCACACAGCCTGAGCTCCACAACAACACAACGCCTTGAACAACTTGACAAATGTGGTGAAACGTGATTCACCAAACATTGGCCTGTTGTCCTGCGGTGGGACTGGGACTCCAACAAACCTTAATACACACAACAAGCATATGTATGTATGTATGTATATATATATATATAGAAGCGCACATACGCAGAATCACGCAGACACAGACAGAGACACGCGCACACACACAACAGAAAAAAAGAAGAATGAATAAAGCATCGAAGCCGAAGAGCATACACCATCTAAACCCTGGGCAAACCCTAAACCCAAACCTTACATTACACACAAACCCTAAATCTCAAAATAAATCCACGCCTACACCCTGAATCCTAAACCCCTATATAAATCCTAAACCCCGAAACAGCTAATCTTATAGATCCCCGATACCGGCGGCTTTTGGTCTCGCAACCACGGGTCTGCGGCAGCAGCGCAAAGCTGACAGTCGGGGCGGCAACCTGAAACGGTTTAGGGTTTAGGGTTTACGGTTTTGGGTTTAGGGCTTTGGGTTTAGGGTTATACGATTTAGGAGTTAGGGTTTACGATTTAGGGTATAGGGTTCCGGGTTTATGGCTGGATATCTGAAATGGCACTGCAAAAACGTGAACCCCGATCTTCCAAGATCCCTGAATGAAGGAAGATGCCCTTAAATCATAGTGGGATCACCAATACGATTTTCTCAGGGTCTATTCCATTTTTAAAAGGGGGTATCGGAAGATTTCGTAAAATCTAAACCTGCAGCCTCGAAACCCCCAAGCGCCCACATCCTAATCCCTAAAAGTTAACGGCCCAGGGAGCTTTTAGCCTAGCCCGACTAGAAGGTGCATCGGAGGCTTGTGTTTGTGTAGTTATTGCTTCAATAACTTTGTTAAAGGAAACTACAGGTGGGAAGCTTAGGTTATATAGGGATTCTATAAGGCTTCTATGTTGTATATAGACCGTCAATAAGGCTCCTATACAGGTAGCTACCCACCTGAAAATGTCCTAGACTTTGTGTGAGTCACCAGCTCCCAGCAACGTGCTAAAACCACCCAAGCAGCTGAATGTGCAGTGTCAAGCATCGACTTGGTAACCGAACATCTGCTATTGCGGAGCTGTGTGTAAGCATGTACGGACGTATGTACGCGTGAAACTACATATGCATGCATGCGTGGTGGGGTGTGTGTGTGTGTGGGTGTGTTTGCTTCTTTGTGTGATTGATTGTGTGTGTGTGTGTGTTCGTTGCTTTTTGTTTTTTCGTTTCCACATTCATTGTCACCCAATCATCATCACCCCCGCCACCACCACCCTAAACCCTACATTCCACACCCCAAACCCCTAAACCCTAAACCCCTCAACCCCAAAACCCTAAACCCCAAACCCCTAAACCCCTAAACCCTAAACCCCTCAACCTTAAACCCCAAAACCCTAAACCCTAAATCCCTTATCTCTGAGCCTCTAGACCATTCCTCAACCCCTGAGAGCCTCATAAGCCCCTCAAAGGCCAGTGCCAAAGCCTCAAGCCTGAACTTTGAACACTGAACCTTAGGGTTTAGGGTTAGGGTTTGGGCTAGTGTTTGGGGCTTAGGGTTTAGGGTTAGGGTTTGGGGTTTAGGGTTTAGGGCTCGGGTTTGGGGTTTAGGGTTTAGTTTTAGGGCTTTGGGTTTAGGCTAAACCTTATACCCTAAACCCCAATCCCAATGACTCTACCCTAAGCCCTAAACCCGCAACCCTAAACCCCCAACCCTAAACCGGAACCACCTGGGCACCGCCTTCCGTAGGAGTTCAGGAGCCCGCCGGTGGCATCACAGGCAGACCGGTCCTGAACTCTTAAACAAAGCCTAAACCCTAAACCCTAAACCCTGAACCCTAAACCCTAAACGTGGGTTTGGGTTTAGGGTTGCGGGTGTCAGGTTTAAGGTTTCGGGTGTGGAGCTTCGGGTTCAGAATTTAGGATTTAAGGGTCCAGGGCTTAGGGTCTAAGGTTCAGGGTGTTTAGGGTGTCTAGGATGTGGAAGTTTCTGAGAATAGGGGACCCTAATATAGTACCCTAAATAGTAGGATCCCTATTATAAGGACCCCAAAATAAGGTACCCTAATTTTCGGAAACTCCCATGTGGGTCCTGGGCCGTGGGTTTAGGGTTTTGGGCTACAGGTCCAGACCTGCTGAATGGCTAATGGCTACGACTTGTGTATTTTTCATAGAGTCAGGGTTCCTCTTGATGGGTCAGGAGGTACTGTTGATGATATCAATCCTGCATTACCTTAAGGACACTAAACTATGGGAATTCTGGCGTAGTCCTTATTATGGGTAATGCAGGATTTATATCATCAACCGTAGCAAAGAAGGCGAGATGGGTTAATGCTTTGACATGTGGGGCACCCGGCAAGCAAATAAACCTGCCGAACAGTTTTCAGTACGACGACAATCTATGCCCTTACATACACCCTGCCGAGCCCAGAATCAAGAATCTGCGACTCTGCGACTAAACCCTGAACCCTAAACCCAAAACCCTAAACCCCACAACCCAGTGCACAGCATTGGGTCGGCAACGACGGCATCCTGAGCATCAGCTGCAACAGTCTGCCTGCTGCCACCCCATCCAGTTCAACAAAGGTTTAGGATTTTTTTTAAGGGTTTAGGATTTAGGGTTTAGGGTTTTCAAGAGTATGAGCATCAGCTTTGACGCTGTTACACCAGAATTCCAGCAAAGAAGACATCGTACAGCTAGCATTAGCCACGACAGCTTGCTTCCAGCAGGAGACAGCGTCATGAGCACCAACTGCGAGTTTCCACACCAGGCTGAACGAGTATCAGCCGACACAGTTTCTGGACGCAAAGATGGTGTCGACAGGAGGGCGCCTGCGACAGTTTCCATGCAAGAGTCCTGCCAAGAACAGATAAATAGAAGATCTGCACATTGCACGAGCTCCAGCAAGCACTTCTTGATGACGAGCAGCCGTAACAGTTTGCTTGCCATAAGCCCATCAGCCGCATCAGGTCATCAGGCAGCAATTTGCACTCTGCCGAACCCTCCGAACACCGACAGTTTCCACACCATCCGCAGGCACCCAGACAAGACCACCATCATGAGCTTCACCTCATCAGCCTCAACAGTTTCCACACCGTTCAAAGCTCCCTGAAAGGCCCGGCATCATGAGCATCAGCTGCGACAAT